TTCCTGAAGACCTCCAAGATCAGAGACCAGAAAAGCATCATGTGTTTCTGCCAACCTTCTGCAGGTCCAGGCAGGTCTCCAGGTCAGACTCTCTCCAAGAAAACTCTAAGGGGCACAATATTGAGTTAGAGAGCCCTGGGCCAGGCTGCCCAGAGAGGCTGTGGAGTCTCTTCTCTGGAGACATTCCAACCCCCCTGGCCACGTTCCTGTGTGATGTGCTCTGGGTGCCCCTGCTCTGGCAGGGGGACTGGGCTGGGGGAGATTTCCAGGTCCCTTCCAACCCCCAACCTTCTGGGATTCTGTGACTCTTTCCATGGCAATGGCAGCTCATGATTCACCCTTCCAGCTCTGAGTGTGTTCAGGATGCCCTTCCTCTCCAGCTCCCCCTTTCCCACCCTGCTCTGGTGTCTGAGCCATGAAAGCACCAGCAAATTCCCCCCTTTTTTTTTGGCTGCATCCCTGCTCAGCTGCTGCCCTGGGGCACAGCTGGTTAATCTGTGCTGGGAGAGGCTGAGGGCTGGGATTAGTGCTGCAGATGCTCTGAACATCTGCAGCTCCAGGACAGCCCCAAATTCACCAGCACTGGAATCTGGAGGGGAACAGCAAGGCTGGTAAGAGCTCTTTTTTTTTGGGGGGGGGAGGGATTTGCCTCTTGAATTGGCACTGCCAGGTAGCAAGAGAAGAGGGAAAATGTCATGGGAGAGGTGACAGCCCTGCCAGGATCTTGGCACTTCCAAGTGTGTGTGATTCCCAAGGCTGAGGAGCTGATGGTGCAGAGGGAGGAAGGCTGAGAAGCCAGGGACAGGACTGGGAGGAGCCTGCAGAGCAGGCACAGTGAGGAGGAAAAAGCCCTGAAGGGTCTCAAAGCTGCAGCTCCTTGTGCTGGGGAGGTGGGATGAGGGTCCTGGGCCCTGGGAAGTCCCAGAGCTTGGGTCAAGCCCTGGCCAGGAACACCAGGTGCTGCCCAACCAGAGGCAGAAGGTGTTACTGGGGACCTCCCCCATGGGGTATCTGTGCTTCATCTCCCCATCCAAAACCAGTCCCTCCCTGCCCAGCTGAGCAGGGTTGGGTTCACTCTGGGCTTCCCTCCTTGCTCTGACTGCATTCTTTTCATTTTTATTCTTTTTTCCTGCACTCACTTCTTGTTTCCCTTCATCACAGGGTCTTAGGAGCCTTTTAGTTGGTGGCAACAGGCAGCAGAGGGGATGAGAAGAGACCTTGGAGCAGTGATGGAAGGGCTACAGCTGCGGGTAAGGCTGAGCCCAGGCCAACCACAACCCTGCCCATCCCTTGGAGGCCCCAGCAGCCAAGGGAAAAGAAAATACCAGCTCCATCTCTGCCTGGGGAGCCTGGTACCCTTGTCTGTCAGTGCAGGGAAACTCCAGGAGCCCCTTCAGGATTAAGCCCAGGGAGTGTCTGAGCTCCTGGGCTGAGCTCCTCACCTCCCAGCAATGTGCCCTGGGGGCCAAGAAGGCCAATGGCCTCTGGGGTGGGTTAGAAAGGGGGTGGTTGGTAGGTCAGGGAGGTTCTCCTGCCCCTCTGTTCTGCCTTGGTGAGGTCACATCTGGAATGTTGTGTCCAGTTCTGGGCCCCTCAGTTCCAGAAGGACAGGGAACTGCTGGGAAGAGCCCAGGGCAGAGGCACAGAGATGCTGGAGGGAGGGGAACATCTCCCTGCTGAGGAAAGGCTGAGGGAGCTGGGGCTGTTGGGCTTGGAGAAGAGGAGACTGAGGGGCCACCTCATCCATGGGCACAAATCTGTTCAGGGCAGTGTCAGGAGGGCAGAGCCAGGATTTGTGCAGTGATGTCCAGGGACAGGACAAGGGGCAGTGGGTGCAAACTGGAGCCCAGGAGGTTCCCTGGGAATCTCAGGAAGAACTTCTTTGCTGTGAGAGTGCCAGAGCCCTGGGCCAGGCTGCCCAGAGAGGCTGTGGAGTCTCCTTCTCTGGAGACATTCCAACCCCCCTGGCCACGTTCCTGTGTGATGTGCTCTGGGTGCCCCTGCTCTGGCAGGGGGGTTGGGCTGGGGGAGCTTTCCAGGTCCCTTCCAACCCCTGGGATTCTGGGATGCTGTCATGCTGTGCCCTCCCCTCCCTGCACAGACCTGTTTACCACCTCCCCAGCCTGGACACAGGGGGGATGCAGGCACTGCAGGACTTAATCTCCTCCTGTTCAGATGTCAGAAGGAGATGAAGCTGCTATAAATAGCTGGTGAAGCCCTGATGGTTTCAGCTGTGGTTCACCCACATGGCAGAGCATTAAGGAGAATTAACGTTCAGCTGCTGGGGCACTTTTCTGAGAGCAAAAGCCATTCTGGCCCCAGGCCCTTAATCTCCTTGCCCCAGGGGGAGGTCAGCAGCCCTGCCTGGAGGGTCTGGAGGAGCCCAATGGTCAGGGAATCCTGCAGCAGGACTGTTGGGCAGCTAAAAAGAGCCACTTCACCCAGAGTGATGGGGAGGAACCTGCCCAGGAGGAGCAGCTGAGCCGAGGGGCACAGCCAGACCCCCTGCTGCAGATGCTGGGGGGCTGTCCCAGCCCCAAACACACTGAGATGCCTGACAGCAGCTTCTGGGACTGAGCCAGCTCCTGGCAACGGTATGTGCAGGGCTCTGGGCTCCTCCTGGCCCTCCCCAAACCTTGGTGAGATGTGTCTCCAAGCAGAGCAGCTCACAGGGCTGCCTAGATGAGCATTGGGGGGGGGTGGGAGGGGGTGCTGGGTTGGTCTCTGAAATCCACATTTCTTCCTAAAGCCCTCCCAAATATTTCAAAGCTCAGGGGGTGAAAACATGACCCACCCACGGGGGGTCTTGTGTGCCCTTGTTCCTGCAGGTGTTTGTGTTCATCTGTGTGTGTGTCAGGGTGTTGCAGCCCCTGTGCTCGGGGCGTTTGCAGTGATGGTCACTGAGATGGAGAAACCAGCTGAAAGGGAGGTCCTGGAGGTCCTGGGCAGGGGAGGTGTGAGGAGCCTGTTGGTAGGAATCTACCCTTCTGTCTGTCTGGCAGTCTCCTAGGTAGGGGGAAAGAGGGAAAGGTGTTTTTTCCTGAAAGGAAACAGAGGGTAGAGCATGTCAGCATTATGAGTATTTCTCAGGCTTTTGAATATTTGGTGCTACCTCAATAAAAGAGAGACCCATGTCTCTGGTTTCATGGCATTGCCACTTTTGAATCCTTCTAGCTGATCACAGATTCTTTGTCCTTTTTCCCTTGTTACACGTAATCTTTCTTTGAGATGCATTCTCATGTGTCACAGAATCACACACAGAATCCCAGGGGTTGGAAGGGACCTGGAAAGATCCCCCAGCCCAACCCCCCTGGTCAGAGAATGGAACAGACATCTAGGACACTCAACATGCACAGGAGATCAAAGAGCATTTGGACTGAAGGATGAGAGTTCAGTGCTGGCAGATTTGGGTCCTCAGTTAGTGGTCCAGGGAGTCTGGAGCTCCTGAGATGAATCAGATACCAGCAAATCTTTTCCTTTCATCCTGCTCTTAGGGACCCAGGAATCAGAGTTTCCCAGTGAAGCAAGGAAAGAGGCAGGAAAAATGGTCAGAGAACCTGCAGGTGGGTAGAGGGGTCACCTTATTATGGTGGGACTGAACCCAAGAAAGCCCCCCCATGGCCACTCCAGGGCAAAGAGAGCCCTGCCCCACTCCTTGCTGCAGGAAAACAGCTTCTCATCACAGCTCCACTGGCCCTGAATTTTGGGTCCCTTCCTTGGATAGCTGGGATATGGACTTCTCCTGAGCTCTGGGCCACCTAGTCTGATAGCTGGGATATGGACTGGCCCTGAGCTCTGGCAGTTTTGGGGCTTAGAGGGTCTGTAGACACCTGTGGGGTCTCAACCCACCCGTGGAGCCTGATTTATGTTACAGAAGAACCTGAAGGAAGGTGCCTTCAGGAATGTAGGTGGGAATAACTGGAGAGGCTGAAGGGCTGCAGAAAGAACCATGATGTGCTTATCTTCTTGTCCAGGAGGTCTCAGTAACCTAGAGGTGCAGCAAGGGGTGGGTTCCCCAGGTCCAGCAGGTCTGGAAGTGGCTCCACAGCTTCCCCTCATGGGAGTGACAAAACTCAGCTGATTTGCAGCTGCTTTGGCAGGAACTAGCCTGGATCTCCAGGAAGAAAGGGAAGATAAAGGGCCACGTGGAAATCTAAAGGGAGTCTTTTAGTCTGTCTGTCCTCCAAGGGAGTCCAGGCAACCTGAAACAGTTTTGGAATGTAGACCATATTGGGTGCCAATGGCAGGCCAGAAACATTCCTTGCCAAACTTTGAAAAGCACCCAAGTGACCTCCTGCAGGCAGGGAGAGGGCACAGCTCCTGCTTGGGCACCTCATCTCTTGGCAGCTGTTCCTTGGTTTCCATCCTTCCATGTCTGGATGGTCCTGTCACCAACCTGGATGGTCTCCAGTGTGGTGGGAGCTGCACAAACCCCAGGCATGAGGCACATTCCAAGGCAGGGCAGCTGTGCATGCCAAGCATGTGGGTGACATCATGGGCATCACAGGCACAAAACAGGAGGGTGAAGAGTTTCATCATTCATCTATAAATGCTGGATCTGCTCAGGTGATCCTGCTGGTGCCATGAGCAGATGTTGGACTCTGGGGGGAAAAGGAGTTGGAAAGATATCCAAGATATCCAGTAAGTCATGACTGCTGAGAAGGGAGGAAACAAGAGCTGGGACAGAGAACCCTGCCAGCCTGGGCAGGGCAGGTCCAAGGGCAGGGAGGGGAAAAGGCAACAGGATGGTTTTCTTCTATAAGAATCAACAAGGTAAGGACAGTAACATCATGCAAACCTCACTGGAAAACAAAAATCCATCTCTGCTTGCAGTGATTTCAGTGCTCTGGTGCTGCAGTAGCACAGCAGTCAGCCCAGGGCCCTGAGCAGAGTGTCTTTTCCACCCAGCTGGTCTGCAGGAGATGCAGGTTTTTTTCCCCCCTCTGAGATCCAACCTTCTCTGCTTGCAGCAGGGATCCAGCAGCAGGAGCCTCCTCAAGATGGCTGTTATGGAGCTGAAGTGGATCCACATGTTGGTCATCATCTTCTTCCTGCTCTCTGTTGCAATGACAGGCTGCTTCCTGTGGCAGTACAGCCTCCCCAAGGTGGAGCCCAGTGAGTAGTCATCTTTAAGCATAGAGCCATAGAATCCCAGAACCACTCAGGGTGGAAAAGCCCCTTGGGATCACCCAGCCCAACCACCCTCCCTGCTCTGCAAAGTTCTCCCCTCAACCACATCCCCCAACACCACATCCCAACCACCTTCCAACACCCCCAGGGATGGTGACTCCACCACCTCCCTGGGCAGCCTGTGCCAGGCTCTGACCACTCTCTGGGAAGAAATTCCTCCTGATGTCCAGTCTGACCCTGCCCTGGTGCAGCTTGAAGCCCTTCCCTCTTGTTCTGTCACCTGTGAGAACAGACCAGCACCAACCTCTCTGCCATGACCCTTCAGGCAGTTGCAGGGACTGGTGAGCTCTCCCCTCAGCCTCCTCTTCCTCACACTGAACATCCCCAGCTCCTTCAAATGTTCTTCATCAGATTGATTCTCCAGGCCCTTCCCCAGCTCTGTTGCCTCCTCTGTCCTGGCTCCAGCCCCTCGAGATCTCTCTTGAATTGAGGTGCCCAAACTGGACCCAACACTCCAGCTGTGGCCTCCCCACTGGCTTTCTTGGCCACCTGGGCACACACTGGCTCCTGCTTGTCAATCAGAACTCCTGGAGCTGTGGGATACAACCCCACAGCTGCTGACACTGAACTGCTGCTGCCCAACTGGGAAGCCCTGGCACAGCCACCACGACCTGGATCTCAGGGGGGGTCCTTGTGTGTGGGTTCCTGCCTTGTAAGAACACAGAGGTCTGAGTGTCTAAACCAGGTGGACATGGGGAAAATGGCCCCTCTGGCTGGTGCAAGGACACAGAGGAGATGAATATTGGGCTGCAGGAGCAGCCTGGAGCTCTGCTGGTGCCCAGAGAAGCTCCATTGCTTCTGGCACTTCCCTGGCTTGATTTATATACAAAGAAGAAAGTTTATTTTACATTCTTTATCTTTTTCCTTAGCATCCTGTTGTGAGAATCACTCCAGCTTAGAATGGATTTGGTTTTGCACCCCACCATGTGCTTCAGCTTATGGGTTTGCTTCCTCTCCTGTGCCCCTGGTCTGAGATCCCCTACTCACAGCTCCAGTTCACACTGGAATTTCCTGATGTTGATTAGAGAAAACTTCACAGAAAGACTCAAGACCAGGTTGGATGGGGCTTGGAGCAGCCTGGGCTGGTGGGAGGTGTCCCTGCCCATGCAGGGGGTTGGAGCTGGATGATCTTGAAGGTCCCTTCCAACCCAAACCAGCCTGTGATTCTATGTGCAAGGATGAAAAATGTCTCCACTGGAAATGGAGCAGAGTTTTAAGTAGCCCTAAAATGGCATAAAAACCACAGTGAAGGTGCCAGTGAAGGTGGTGGTCAGAGATTTCAGACCCTGCATTTTTAGCAGAGGATCAAAGGCTGCCTTGTAGGCTCCTGTGTGTCCATCCCCCTCCAGCTCCAGGTTTTCATCATGCCATCTCTCTTCTCAACTCCATTTCTACTGCTTCCTGCTCAGCTCATAAGCAAAGAGATAACTGAGCATTTTGTGTACAGCTCCCAGAGCAGAGGAGCTGGGTTTGTGAACACTTGGGGGTCAGCTGGGAGAACAGTGCCTCCAAGGAAAAGAGGCCCCATCCTTCCCTGAGTTTAAAGATCTTAAAGACCTTTGCTTGCCACAAACATTTAAGATCTGTCTCTGGCACCTGCAGGATGCAGCTGTTTCAGAAGACTAATGTCTCTGGCACCAGCTGGGCTGCAGGTGGGACTCACAATTCACTTCTACACCCACTGGCTGAGGCTACAGAATGCATGGGACAACCCTGTCCTCCTGAGCCCAGACTCACATCTTCCCCTGGGCATAAGCAGGGCACTTCCATGGTGTCAAAAGCCACTCTTGGGTACCCTGTGGAGTCTGCTGTAGTCCCAGTTCCTTACTCTTCCAGGGTCAGTTGAAGCCCCTTGCAGCTCCTGTCCATCCTGAGTGCTGCCCCATGTTGGACTAAGCACTAACAGAGCACAGGGAACTCATCACACCCTGGTTTATGTGAGATGGAAACAATTTCCAGATTGTTCCTTTGCCTATCACAGAATCCCAGAGTGGTGAGGGCTGGAAGGGAGCTCTGGAGATCATCTAGTCCTTGCCAGAGCAGGATCCCCTAGAGCAGATCCCACAGGAACACATCCAGGTGGGGCTGGAATGTCTCCAGGGTTGGAGACTCCACAGCCTCCCTGGGCAGCCTGGCCCAGGGCTCTGGTACCCTCAGAGTCAAGAAGTGTTTCCTTATGTTTAACTTGACCCTCCTGTGCTCCAGTTTGTGCCCATTGCCCCTTGTCCTGTCACTGGGCACCCCTGAGAAGAGTCTGGTCCCATCCTCCTGTAGACATTGGCCAGCATCATCAGATCCCCCCTCAGGCTCCTCTTTTCTAAGCCCCCTCTCTAAGCAGATGTGTCCTTCAGCTTTGGCCAACACAAGCAAGAAAGGTGGTGCTGAAAGCTGGGTGAGGTTAGAGCTTGTCAGTGTGTCAGTTCAAGCCACACACACTGTGTTTGGAATGTTCTCCAGGCCCATCAGTGATGGCAGCAAGGCCAGAGGCTGTGCAGATGTGTCCCCGCTACCCCGAGCCCGTGCCACTGGACCACCCCATCCCCATCCTGAAGGATGCACTGGAGAAGGTCTGTGAGGAGAAGGGAACAGAGACAGAGCTCAGGACTGCTCTTCTGAAGGTGTCAAGGGGACACGTGTCTTGCCCCTGAACATCTCTGGGGGATGGAGGAGCTGGGAATGAGGAGGTGGGGATGGAGGAGGTGGAGATGGAGAAGGTGGGGATGGAGGAGGTGGGGATGGAGGAGGTGGGAATGAGGAGGTGGGGATGGAGGAGCTGGGAATAAGGAGGTGGGGATGGAGGAGCTGGGAATGAGGAGGTGGGGATGGAGGAGCTGGGAATGAGGAGGTGGGGATGGAGGAGGTGGGGATGGAGGAGCTGGGAATGAGGAGCTGGGAATGAAGGAGGTGGGGATGGAGGAGCTGGGGATGGAGGAGCTGGGGAACAGGTGACTCTAGAGCTGGGGATACAAAGCTCCTTCCCTGGACACACAGAACAGATCAATAATAGTTACCTAAAGGGGAAGATATGGTGAAGAAACATCATTGCTTGTCCATCAGAAGGCCTGGTGGGCACACCCCAGCACAAAACCTCTTGGCAACTTGGCTGCTATCAGGCAGCCCTCATGTCCTGGCAAGAAGATGAATCTTGTCACCAGTTCCCATTCCCCAGTGACTGCCCATTCCTAGTTTGATGGCTTTGCTGCCTTTCTCCAGGCCACCTTCCAAATGTCAATAGCTACTAGTGAATAACTTCAAGGGAGGGAATGGAGGGGAGGGGGAAGAGAGAGACCTGTTTCCTCAGCAGGACACACTTTTAGCACTGTCAGAAACTCTGCTCAGCTCTACGTGCAGTGAGGAGGTGCAGCCTCTGCTGCCTGTGTGGGTCATGGGGACAACCATGCCCTGAGAGGACACTCCTGGGTTTGTAGAGCCCTATCATCTACCTTCTCCTTTGTCTGAGTCTAAATTAGTCAGGAGAGAAGCTGTCCCACAGACTAGATGCATTAGGAAGCTCTCTGGAGATTGATCAGTTGCCATCCTGCTGCAGGTGGACGTGATGCTGCGCCAGAAGGTTCACAGCTCTGGTGTCCCAGCCATGTCTGCCATCGTGGTCTACAATGACACTGTGCTCTGGACAGGCAACTTTGGCAAGAAGAATGGCTCAGACCCCTCCTCCGTGGTGCCCAACGAGTACACTATTTACAGGTGAGACACGTGGGTGCCAGGCAGGAGGGCTGGAGGAAGAGCAGATCCACGTATGGAGTGTGTCTGACGGCTGGGAATAGAGACACTGGCACGTGTGGCCTCATGGGTGGTCATGGCAGAGAGGTTGGTGCTGGTCTGTTCTCACAGGTGACAGAACAAGAGGGAAGGGCTTCAAGCTGCACCAGGGCAGGGTCAGACTGGACATCAGGAGGAATTTCTTCCCAGAGAGTGGTCAGAGCCTGGCACAGGCTGCCCAGGGAGGTGGTGGAGTCACCATCCCTGGGGGTGTTGGAGGGTGGTTGGGATGTGGTGTTGGGGGATGTGGTTGAGGGGAGAACTTTGCAGAGCAGGGAGGGTGGTTGGGCTGGGTGATCCCAAGGGGCTTTTCCACCCTGAGTGGTTCTGGGATTCTATGATGATTCTATGATCTTCTACCGGCTCATGTCCTCTGTAGAACCTCTCCTGAGCTACCCTGAAACTTGGTGACAGAATCATAGAACCATTCTTTACATTTGACTGTGCTCTGAAGCTTCCCAAATATCCACACCAGATATGAAATGCAAAATTTTCACCTTAAAATTCCAACTAACTACTTTCAACTCAGGTTTCCTAAGCAATAATTTACAAAATGTGTCAACTTGTGAATCCTCAGCCAGCAGAAGAAGTTCTGTAGCCCACTGCCTTCTTGGGGAGACACTGCTGAAGGGTATCCTGCAGTCCAGAAAGGCCAGAGTTATGGGTGTTCAATCAAGCTTCTTAAATGCATTTCAGCCATTCCCTTTGGAATTAGCCAAGGTTTTGCATGTGAAGCTACAGGCAGTGGGTCAGTGAGGTGACCTCATGTACTGACCATCTTCCTTCGTGGGTTTCTTAGTGCTTAACCTCTACAAATCTCCATTCCTTCACAGAATTGCCAGTGTCTCCAAGATCTTCCCCACCATTATGCTGTACAAGATGTGGGAGGAAGGAAAAGTCACGTCCCTTGACGACCCCTTGGAACGTTACGCCCAGAACTTCGTTATTAAGAACCCCCTGGGCAGGCTCAGGGACTCAGAGCAGAGGCCCCCAGGAGATGGGCTGGCTTTCTCAGAAAAAGGCTCCGTGCCACCCAAGCCATCACCCGTCACCCTGCGCAGAATGGCCAGCCAGCTCTCAGGTGAGACAGCCCCCCTACCTGCTTCCCACCTGCCCACCACCCTGCTGCTTGGAGGAGACCCCAGAGAGAACTGTCCCCAGGCCAGGGGGAAAACATGTTGCTGTTGAGGCCATTGCCCAGTATGGACCTTTGCACTCCCCAGAGGTCAGGCAGGACCCGTGGAAGCAAGATGTCAGCAGCTTCAAGCTGGCAGGGAAGCTTGAAGAGGGGAGATTCAGATTGGACATGAGGAGGGAATTCTTTGCTGTGAGGGTGGTGAGAGCCTGGCCCAGGTTGCCCAGGGAAGCTGTGGCTGCCCCATCCCTGGCAGTGTTGAAGGGCAGGTTGGATGGGGCTTGGAGCAGCCTGGGCTGGTGGGAGGTGTCCCTGCCCATGCAGGGGGTTGGATCTAGATGATGTTTAAGGTCCCTTCCAACCCAAACTATTCTATTCTATGATTCATGAAGTGCTTAAGTGTCCAGGCCACCTGCTAGGAAGGTGGCCAAGCTCCCTGTGGGCTGGGTGGTTGCTTTTCCCATGGCAGGTGAACATGTATTTCCTTTCCCACAGCAGCACGACCTGAAACCAGGCTCCAGCTACATCACAATCCTTTCCTACCCCAGCCCAGACTGCTCTCATTTTTCTGAGACATAGAGTTGAGGGTGAAAGTGGCACCAAACCTCTTCACTTTGAACAGATAGACCTTGATGGCTGAGCTAAATTTAGCTGTGGTTCCTGAGCTGGGATTCCTCAGCTATTAATAGCTCTGTGCTTGCTGGCAGAAGACCATTTATCTGCTGCTACCTTCATAATTGGGTAACCCTGGCATCAAGGTAGAAGGAGCTCACAGGGCTTAGGAGAACTTTGACCTTTCTCAGTTGCTAATATTGACTCAGAGATTCCAGAATGTAATGGCCAAAGATACTGTGCTGGTATCTCAGGTGGTGTCTTAATTAGACTCTGTAACTCCTGCATCATTCCAGATTGGAATCAAGGGCCTCAAATTAGGACCTAAGATCAAAAGAAGAAGGAAGCAAATTGCAGGACCTCAGGACAAGGTGCAACAACACCTGGGTCAAGCCAGGGTCAAAATATGGTTCTTCAAAATAGGATGATGTCACTGACATCTGGAAATTCAGTTACAGTTTCCAGATGCAACTGAAAACTGGAAATGGACAAACAGCCCAATGGGGCCAGTGGAGGCAGAAAGAAGGATCATCCAGTTCCAACCCCCCTGCCATGAGCAGGGAACCACGAGACCAGGTTGTACAAAACCTCATCCAACCTGGCCTTTTCATCAGAGATGATAGTGACAGGACAAGGGGTGATGGTTTTAAACTGAGAGAGGGGAGATTTAGATGAGATATTAGGAAGAAATTCTTCACTCTAAGGGTGATGAGGAGCTGGGATGGGTTGCCCAGGGAGGTTGTTGATGCCCCATCCCTGGAGGTTTTTAAGGCCAGGTTGGATGAGGTTTTGTGCAGCCTGGTCTGGTGGTTCCCTGCTCATGGCAGGGGGGTTGGAGCTGGATGATCTTTAAGGTCCCTTCCAACCTTCATGATTCTATGAATGAAGCTCAGGAAAGACATTGCTCTGGTGCTGGTTGAACTCCCCCAGTGGTGCAACACTTCCTGTGCTGCCTTGTGGCAAGTAGGTAATGAAGGAGCCCATTGTCTACTGGAAGATGCTGAGTGCATCTCTTATCTGCTCCTTCAGCTGCACAAACAACCACAGACTAGAAGCAGAAAAAGTGCTCTGGTTCCAGTTCAAATCCCAAGCTCAGGCCAGTTGAGAAAAGCAGGTGTTGCTGCTGCCAAAGCCTCATTCAGCCTTGCAGTGATGAAGCCCAAGCTCACTGAGCAGATGAGGCCAAACCACCTTCCTGCCCTGCAGCCTTCCTGATTTCCTCCTCACCTCTAAATCAAAGTCAGTTGGGAACTGCAAGGAGGGTTTCAACCCAAGTTCAGGACTTGGCAGAGCCACAGACCCTGTGCAAAGGAGCTGTGGCATTATCTCAAAGCCCTGGCCCAAAATGTTTCAGGGAACCCATGAGCACTGTTGTGCAATGGAATGAGAAAAGAGCTTCAACTTTTCTACTTTCAGAAACCCTGAATAAATGTTGCTAAATAGTATTAAAAAAAAAACAAAACAACAAACATACAAAAAAACCAACAACAACAAAACCAACCAACAAAACAAAAACAAAAAAGCTCTTAAAATCATTTAGGCCAAGCCTGGGATGATTCAGAGAAGTTCAGGCCCTCTCCAGTGAGGTATAAAGAACAAAGACCTGTTTGAAGGGGCTGTTACACATCTTGCTGCCAAGGGAACAGAGTCACATGGGAATAGGGACAGGGATGTCCCCCAGACCCCATATGCCCTTCTCTTCCAAAATACACTGGAGGATCCAGGGTATTTTTAACAAGCCATCAAGGTATTTTTAGTGAAATGTAGCAACCCAGAGCTGGTGCTGGGGTAGGACTTGCCCAGTTTCAGTGGTCCATGACTTGAATACTGGGTCCTGTAGGCCAGTACACTTGCTGTGTGCACCAACCCCACGTGTGCATCGTTGTTGTTTCCATCTTGCCATTGAGTCTTGCCTTCTGTTCACTGTCCACCAGACTCAAGGTTTCCTGGACCATGGTTCACCTCAAATTGTTGCCTTCTATTTCCCATGGCACAGGTCTGCCCAGGAGGCTGAGATCCACCAGCCTGCTGTGGAGAGGCAACACCCAAGAGGCTCTTGCTCTGCTGAAAGATGATGTCTTGGTTGCTGACCCTGGAACCAGGTCAGATATGTTCACTTTCTGGGTCTGTGTTGTCCAACTGGTGTCAGCCCCACCTGCAGTCTCCATGGCCAGTTCCCAAAGGAAGCTTCAGTCCTCTACCCTCCACCTCTCTTAGGCTGGAAAGAGTCACTGGAGTCACTGGACGTGCCCTGGGTTTTTTAAATGTGTGTAGAGCCATCAGCCCCACCATGGCCAGTTCCCAGAGGAAGCTTCAGTCCTCTACCCATACACCTCTCTTACGCTGGAAAGAGTCACTGGAGTCACTGGAGGTGCCCTGGGTTTTTTAAATGTGTGTAGAGCCTGACTGAGAAGTGTAGATGAGGTAAATTTAAGTGAGATAGATATAGATAGAGATATATAGATAGATATCGTTAAGGCCAGTGAGCCTTCAGTTCTGAAAGATGCAACACTGGAAAAGCATGTTCATTTAATCAGTTTAGACTATCATAGATTTTGCCTAAAATCATGTTATGTGTGTAGACATTTGCATGTCTCTAAATTATCACAGAAACACAGAATGGTCTGAGTTGGAAGGGACCTTAAAGATCATCTCATTCCAACCCCCTGCATGGGCAGGGACACCTCCCACCAGACCAGGCTGCTCCAAGCCCCATCCAACCTGCCCTTCAACACTGCCAGGGATGGGGCAGCCACAGCTTCCCTGGGCAACCTGGGCCAGGCTCTCACCACCCTCACAGGGAAGAGTTTCCAACCTAAATTTCCCCTCTTCCAGTCCCTCTTCCATCACCCTTTGTCCTCTCACTATAAGCCCTTGTCCAAAGTCCCTCTCCAACTTTCCTGGAGCCCCTTCAGATACTGGAAGGTGCTCTAAGGTCTCCTGAGATCCTTCAACTGATCTATAAGCTCTATCAATGTTTGTACCAATTTCTGTAGCCTGTTCAGTCTGTTACCTGAGCTGCAAAACAAATAGATGAACAGAAATGGAACAGACAGGAGGTGAGGGGAAGGATTCAAACTAAGGGGGAAAATCTTCCTGAGTCTGCACAATTTTTAGGGAATAGAATTACATTCATAAATCATTTTCCTCGGGTTGCTGAGGATACCTGATGAAGATGACTTGGAATCTGCAGCCTTAGAAAACTCCTAGGAAGCTCCATGGCTCGATCTTGGCAACCTCATATTAACTTCAACCAATGTAAGAGGCTACAAAAGATTTTCCTGAAAGGATTTTAAGACTTTAACCCCAAAATCTGCTTTGGTATTTTTATTACACCCACCATTAAGGTGGGTATAATAAGGCATAATAAGGACATCCACTCATAGTCTCTCAACCCCTCATTACTTGACATGTTGATAGTTTTCATTCTGTCTCCCTTTTCCTGGATGTACTTCACAGCTGCCAGCTCAGTTTTCCCAAAGGATATTGTCATTCCTTGATAGATTGATACAGGGTAGGTTGAATTTCAACTCCACTTCAGATAGAAAATTTTAGATCCAGAATATATTTATTCTTGTGGTAGAAATAATAGAGACTCATCATGTTTTTCTTCAGCTAGATGGGTAGGAAATGGTGGAAGTGGTACCAAATATGTGATCTAAAGAGGCCTCAGTGAGATCTATAGCTCCCCACAATTAACAAAAAAAAAAAACACCAAGGTAGAAAATATTAATTTTGGAAGCAGGTTTGAAAAAAAAGTTGCCCATTCATGTCTTCATGTCATTAAAGTTCTTTCAAGTATAAAGACTTAAATCACTTTATGGGTATTAAAGACTCAAGCACGCAGGTGTCTTTAATGACTCAACATTGCTGAGTGCTGCTTTGTGGACTCTTAAGTGCTTTTTAAAGTGCTTTTTACCATCTTAAGGTAGCTTAGGTGCTTAAGTGATTGGACCATGTTCAATCTCCCAAGTGGCTTCTCTGCCGTTTTGAGACCTTTAAGGCCTCTAACTCTCAACTCTGCTCTTAAAGAGAAGGGATTGATGCTTTGGTGAACAATAATAAACAATCACCCAGGATATGTGGGGTTTTCCACACAGTTTGGGCTTTTTTTTTTTAGTTTTCCATCTCCAGCTTTCTTTCTATAAATTGTGATTAAATAGCTCTACTGTGACTGCCTTAGGAAATTGGAAAAGCTTAAGGAGGGGAGATTGAGGCTGAACATGAGGAGGAAATTCTTTGCTATGAGGGTGGTGAGAGCCTGGCCCAGGTTGCCCAGGGAAGCTGTGGCTGCCCCATCCCTGGCAGTGTTGAAGGGCAGGTTGGATGGGGCTTGGAGCAGCCTGGGCTGCTGGGAGGTGTCCCTGCCCATGCAGGGGGTTGGATTAGATGATCTTTGAGGTCCCTTCCAACCCAAACCAGTCTGAGATTTGATGAAATTTCTCTTCCTGGCCTTAACAAACCAAGACACCAACACTCCCAGTCTCTCTGTCCCTCCCTTCTCGCCACCAAGTTATCTGATCAAACCAGGTGGTTTCTTCCCCCTAGAGAAGAACCCCCCGAGCCACCGGCTTTGCCCCGTCCCAGGCTGATGGGGGCACCTTCCTCTTCCCCTGCAGGTGCCACTATAGCAACCTGGCCTTCTCGCTGCTGGCGCACGTGCTGGCGGAGCGGGCGGGCGGGCAGTACCAGCGCTGGGTCTCGGAGAACGTCCTGGACCGCCTGGGCATGGAAGACACCGGCTTCGAGCTCTCGGCCCCCATCCGCTCCCAGATGGCCGTAGGCTTCTACAGCAGCCACCTGCCTGCCCCCCTCTACGACCTGGGCTGGTACAGACCCTCGGGGCAGATGTACTCCTCTGCTGCTGACCTGGCCAAGCTGGCCATGGTCTTCTTAGGCACCTACCACCGGCGCCTGCTGGAGCCTGACACGGTGAAGACCATGCTGACCCCCCTGCTGAAGTGCTCCAACGAGTACTTTGCCAACAAGACGGGCACCCCCTGGGAGATCAACGAGCAGCTGGGCTACGACATCGTCAGGAAGGATGGGGACCTGGATGGTTATTCTGCCACCTTCTCCCTCGTCCCCAAGCTCCGCCTGAGCTTCATCGTGCTGATGGCAGGGCCCAGGCCCCAGGGGGGGGATCTGGTGGCTCAGGCGTACGAGCATCTTATTCCTGCCATGGAGACAGCGTTCAGAGAAGCAGAGAAAAGCTTGGATCCCCCTCCCAATCCAAGCCCTTACGTTGGCTACTATACCTACTCCAACCTGACTTTCTATGAGATTGAGGTGGGGCCCGGGGGGGTGCTGCTCATGCAGCAGTTTGGACCTCACGTGGAGCAGCTGATTCCCGAGAAGTACCGGACAATCAAGCTCCACCACCTGGAAGACCGTGTTTTCCAAGTCGTTTTCGACAAGGAGTTCCCGTGCGTGCTGCACCTGGGCTCTGCCTCCATCTCCCTGGAGACCCAGAACGGGCAGCTCTTTAACTTCTACCCATTTGACAGGAAGGGTTTGTCCCCTGGCTTTGATGCCCCGGGGCTGAACACCTACAACGTGCTGCGTGTGCTCCGCAAACCCGTGTTCTACAGCTAAGTGTCCCCTCTCCCTTCTGCCCACTCCTGGGATGTGGCTCCAAACCTTTGTCTTACCAGGCTCTCCTGTCTGTGCAGCTTTGTGGGTGCCATTGGAAAGGGAAAGAAGGTGGCAAATTACTCTTTTGCCCAAGAAACGGGTCACGTTCCACTTCTAAAATTCCTTCAATGGCTTGTGATCCCTGGCAGAGCACAACAGGCAACTGGGCAGGCCTGTGGAAAAAAAGAGGTGGGAACGTGCTGGATGGATGGTGTTTGGATGCCATAAAAAAAAAAAAAGCCCAGCACTTAAGTCTCCAAGCTTACATTGACCATTCTGGTTGCTGACTGGGATCATCAAAGGGCTGCAAATCTCCTGTGTCTCTCAGAAAATCTCTCTTCTTCAGTCCAAGGGTTTTTCTAGAGCTCTTCAGCAGCCCACCTGCCATGAGCAACATTCCTCACCTGGCTTTGCCAAACACATTATGTCTAGGAAACAGCACCAGCCTCATCCCAGGCCCTGCTTTTGTGGTACCTGGGAAGTGAGGGTCCATTTCTTTTGTGGGTCACATCAAGGAAACTGTGAAAGGAGTGGAGAGCAATGTGGTCCTGGCTTGGCTCCATGGATTTCTGAAAAAGCCTGGTCACACCAAGGCTGGAGGAGCACTTTGGGACAGAGGATGAAGCTCCCTCCTGTGAGCAGGGTCATAGGAACATACACTGGTCCATTCCAGCTGGACTCAGGTTGGTGACTATCCCTGGCTGTAGACAAGGGTGTGGCTGTGGGGTTTCAGTGCAGCAGTGCATGGGAACCTTTACGTACCTCTTGGGCAGGGTGTTGGCGTGAATATGGACCCTCTGTGTCCATGCATGTGTGAGGGAGGGGGCCAAGGGACAGTGCACCAGCTCTGCACTCAGGACAGGCAGCCAGCCAGGAAGCCACAGGTGCTTCTCCCTCCCTGTGCCCACTCAATGACAAGGACAGATGATTTGTCACCAGTGGCCAACACTACATCACTGTGATGGGAACAGTGTCAGGCACGAGTGCAAGACAGGACAAGTGCCACCAGCAGAGGAGCCTTGGCTGCTGCAATGGACCTTCCAGTTGAGGAGAGGGTTGTGATTGCAGCCCTGGAGCCTGAAACAAATACAAGCAGAGGGTTGGGGCCAGGAAACTCTTGCCCTGACATGAACAGCCTTGCTGCAGAGTCTGGCAATGGCTGCACAGCATGGAAATCCTGAAGGAAGTGCTAAAGGGTAGGCATGCTGGGACAACCAAACACCCTCAGACAATCAAAGACCCTTCAAGGTGCATATTCTCCCCTGCCATAACTGCTATGAAGCTGGATCCTCTTGCAGAGTGACCTCCTGCTGCTGATGGTCCATGCAGAGTGGACATGTCTCAGAGAGGATGAGGAAACAAATCTCCCTGCCTCCCTTCCCTCTTGTTGTCTCTCACTGGTTTCCCTCCACATGCAGTCCTTCAGCTTCAGTTTTGGGTAGAGAAACCATCACTGGAGGCCTAGAGATCTATGATGTGCAAACTTGGTCCCCTGCCCTTTTTTCAGGCACTTTCAGTTCCCAGGTGACCACGTGAAATCATGTCAGCCTTGCCTTCCAGGCAGTCTTGGTTGCTGCTGTCTTGGTTTCCTCTAGACTTTGTAGGTGATTTCATCCCTTGTACAACCTCATGTATTCCAGGGTTTAACCTGGGCTGCAGCAACAGCAATAAACTCCATGTGAATCCTTGTGCTCATGCCCAGAGGTATCTGTGCAGGCAGATCTGTTGCATCACAGCTGATTTCCCACTGAGGTGCCTCCACTCTGTCCTGACATGCCTGACACAACAATGCTCCTGGGGCTTTGAGCTCACCAGATGTGATGTCTGATTGCAAGATACCTGAGTGATCTAAGCCTGGTCTGATTGAGGAAGGACTATGTGCTAATTTGGGGCTGTTCTTCTTGCTTGGGAACAGAAGTGATGGTTTAACCATCAGCTACATCTAAAAGCTTCCAAGCAAAACTAGGATTTCTATCCCATGTCCCTCCCTGGGCAGGATGGAACACCCCACCAGGCTGTCTCCACCTGCCTGATGAGAGGATAAGATCTCTAACTTTTTCATCAGTAATGGAGACACTACCAAGTCTTTTCTTTTCTGGTGGGTCACCCTCAAACCTGGACACTGACACCTTCTGGTGCTCTGGTTTGTGCCCCTAACAAGGTGCAAGTCTCTGCTGTTCCTGCAGCAAAGCCCATCCCACCAACCCTTGGGTCATTGGGAAGGTCAAGAGGAGCTTCCTGCACTGCCCTTCTGTGTGGGCAGGAGAGGGAACCTGGCGTGGAGAGGAGAAAGGACACCTTGGAATGCCTGTAGAGAGGATTTGGGAGAGGCAGGACAAGAAGGAGTTTGGAGGACCCCAGCCACCCACAGCCAGAGTCCCAACACTGAGTCGATGCTACAAACACAAACGTCCAGTTTCTTTCCATCATTTCATCCCAAGACCTTCCTGAGAGGAGCAGATTCAGCCTCTGTGACCCGACTGACACCAGCAGCTCCTTTCCACCAGCTTTCCCAGCTGCTCACAAACTTTCCAGTTGAATACAGAAGCCAAGTTACCTTTCTGAATGATTTTTTGTGAAGCTTGTGTGTGCGTTTGTTGCTGGATTAAAAAATTACACCTCAAATATCCCAGTGTTGTTTCATCTGTGTCAGAGACTGGCTCCAACACCATCTACCCCAAACATGTAAAGATCTACCCAGCTGCTCTCTTTCACAGAGGTGTCTCCTTGGGAAGGTGATGAGATGTGGCTGCAGCAGCCTAGAAACCACGGCCTTAAAAATGGGGTTATAATTACTCATCAGGGGACCAAAAACATCAAATAGGCTTCAGTAACATTCCTGGCATCAGAGACAAAACCAAAATGTATTGGGCTCAGGAGACCAAACTCTGCTCTAAGGGGCACTGATGACACCACAACCTATTGTAAGAGTGTCCCTGGAAACTGTATTTAGTCCACAAGTTAAAAGACTCTGAGCCACTAAGAATTAGATCAATCTGACAAATAATAAACAGCTCCCTGAGCAACCTTCAAATATCTTTCTACTCCCTGAGATTGAATTACTCTGGTCAGGAGAGTGAATTCATCCCATCCTGAAGCACATATTCAAAGTTGATGAATCACACTCTATGAATCCCCAACCTCCAGCTGGTTGAGATGGACCCAACTCCTATCACAAGCAACTGATCAATCCAAAGTGAAACACTTTTCCTGCCAGGTCAGGGCAAGTTCTCACCTCGCTGCATCAGCTTCATCCTGTGCTGGCAGAACGTTAGTTCAGACAACTCCTTCCCTTTTAGAACAACTCCACCTTCAGGAATGTCAGCTCAAGTGAGGATGGTATCGAGCTTCAACCTGCAGTTTGAAAACAGAAGCTTCATTTTGAGGATGATGAAGGGGCTGGAGCACCTGCCTGATAAAGGCTGAGAGACCTGGGGCTGCTCAGTCTGGAGAGGAGAAGACTGAGGGGGGATCTAATGAATGTCTATCAATACATGAGGGCAGCAAGAAGGCAGGACAAGCTCTTGTCACTTGTGCCCTGGGACAGGACCAGGGGCAATGGATTCAAACTGGAGCCCAGGAAGTTCCAGCTCAACATGAGGAAGAACTTCTTTGGTGTGAGGGTGACAGAGCCCTGGGCCAGGCTGCCCAGAGAGGCTGTGGAGTCTCCTTCTCTGGAGCCTTTCCAGCCCTGTCTGGATGCCTTTCTGAGTGACCTGCCCTGGTTTGGGTCCTGCTCTGGCAGGGGGGTTGGACTCCATGATCTTCAGAGGTCCCTTCCAACCCCCAACATGCTGTGATTCTGTGATTTCTTCATCCTTCTCTTTGACCAGAGCAACGTGGCCCAGTTCTTTACTGGCCAGCATCTTTGCAGAGCTTTTCTCTTTTGATGATGAGAGTTAGATGATGTGTCTGTCTGCCTGTAATTACACCAGAGCAGGACTCAGCAAAAAAAAAAAATGACAGGCTGGGAAGGATGGAGCTTTGGTGTTAGAGTCAGAAGTCTATGAAACACTCCAGGCTTCCTGCTTTCCTCCTCAGCAATGGATTGATGTTCTTGCCACAGAGGGATATGTTGAGCCCCTGTGATGTCAAATACAAGCTTTTGGACTTTTCAGTTCTGCAGGAGCTTGTAGGACTTGTTTGAAAAGAACTGTCAGCATCCAACCTTGGAGAGACATAAGAGGCTCAGGGAGCTGCTGGGTCAAAGCCAGACCCTGACTCCTTCTCACCCATGTGAGTGAAAATAAATTGAAGCTTCAAATACATTGAAAGACCAACAAATGTTTCAGCAGTTCACAGCTGGCAGGGAAGCTTCAATATACACTGCTATTAGGTGCCACTCTCACTCTAGAGAAGGTCATCTATGCTTCAAACTGCAGGGGCTCAGAGCCTGTTTGCAAGTTTAATCCTTTCCTGTCCATTTGCTTCTGCCTTGATGAGGAGTTGGCACCTCCTGACTTGGTTTCCAGAGCTGCAGATCAGCAGGGGCGAAGAAAAGAGATGCCAGAAAATCTCCAGCACTGTCTCCAGAGAAGTGAGACCATCCCCATTTACATGAAATAGGCATTTGTGCAGCCCAGATGAGCAGGAGCTGTTGGATTAATGTGACAGTGGCTCCCTGTAGGGCTCATCCTTGCAGACACAACAGTGTCATGTCACCTGCATGGACAACTCCTGCTTCAGCTCAGCAGGTAAAATCCCCTTTTCTTTTGCATGAAAGAGCTCTTAGTTTCAGGTCTATCTGATTCTTGAGCTCCTGATCTGGAGGACAAACTGTGTGGGCAGTTTCCACTATCAATAAGAGACAGAGCTGGTGTCCAAAGTCCAGGAACACCACATGAACTCCACGTTCAAGAGAAAAGCATCTTATAGTGGAGTCCTGGCCTTGCAGCTCCCAGGGGAGGGGGAGATGGCACCTCCAGCTCCACAGCAGAACAGGTCTTGGCAGTATCTATTGA